GCCCCTATATTTGAGTGTACAAAATTTGTACACTCAAATACATTTGTACAAAAAATATGTATTATAAACTATAGGTTTGATACTGCGCTCGATCAACACTTAAGTTGTGCACTCCTAACGCATTACTTTGCCTCACTTTTACATGGGTATGCATGGCACATTTGGTTTCTTCTTCTCCATTCCAACATCGTTCCAATGAACGAAGAAGTATAAAGGCTTGTGGTTCCATATTGGCAGAAACGGTTAGATTGGCTTGCAGCACCATAACCACCACACCCATTCCCGAGGACAAGAGATTTGCTTACAACTACGATGATCTTTTATGTGCGATATATTTCTTAATATTGATTTTTTTTAAATTCATTCGTAATCATAAAATCTTTTTATTTTTTTCAGATCCTGATTTGAATCTTTTAAGTAAATCATATGGATTTGCGAATCCGAGATTGGCTTCTTCGTTCCTCTCCCAACAGAATAAGAAGAGAGGAATTGTAGACGAATGCTGCCGGAAGAGTTGTACTTTCGAACATCTTCTTCTCTATTGTCCTACGTAATCTACTAATTAAATACATTTTTTGTAATATTTTTAAATCGAAATGCGAAAAAACGTGAACTAATTTGAATTGGAAACGTGATTGAATCTAAATTTTTGTTTATTTGAAAATAAAGCATGCATAAATTGGAGAGATCTTTGAATTTCTTAACATTCGCTTCATTCCGTTTCCTGGTAGTTTGGATCAGAGCACTATTCCTTCATTCTTCACCTGTACTAATCTCTTATGAATCAATATTGCTTATCAAGCCCGAATAGGATCTTAAAAAATAAAAAAAAGACAGTTAAACTGCTGATCAGTTTGCCTCACAACTCCAAAAATCTGCAATTCTCATAGAATAAAACAACAATTTTCTCTTTACAATTATATCCCCCTTTGCGGAGTTTTCTTGGTGCGCGGAGCAGCTATAAATCCAAATTAAAAAATATTTCATTTAAAAAACAAGAATTTATAAAAGTTTATATAATCCAGTCAAACTTGAACGGTCTCTTCATAAATTGTTAGTATGGTACGTACGAATTAGTCCTTGACAGGGTTCCTAAATAACTAGTACGATCATAGTCTCATTGAGTTCATTAAAGTATTGTACATAATGTTTCTTATTACTGAAAGTTCATTATAATATGCGTAAGAATTATACGCAATTTTACGCTAAGAAATTATATATTAATATTTAAATATGACAGGTGACATGGAAGAAGTTTCGATACTTTCGTATAGATTATCTCTTATACGAACTCCTTTAAGCACTTTAAGCGACAATCTATCGTTGATATTTATAAAACCGTATTTTTTTAAAAAAGAAAGATATTTGGAGGTTTATTGATAAAGTTTTTCTATAAATGCTGACTTTAAAAGATTTATTTAAAAAATTAAAAATAAAAATGAGATTCGATTATTACAGACAGACACCCAGTCCATTGACATATTTAAGCTTATTACTTATTAATCATATTCAAAAACATTTAATTTATTATTTTTTAATATATTTTAAATATTTTAATATAATATAATATAAGTCAACCATTAAGTAGATATTTATATTAATTAATTATAATGATTATTCTATGTATATGTAATTTAAGATAAGCTACATGAGTAATTTATTAAAACCTTTAATAAAAAATTTTTAAGTAATTTAATAATAAAAAATTTTTGAGTAATTTATTAAAACCTTTAATAAATTACTCAAAAATTTTTTTAGTAAAATATTTACTTAAAATTTAACAAAAAGCGTGTCTTATTTTTACGTTAAAATAGGTTTTTTTCACCTTTTTTCCAGAGAAAGATCGATACTTTAATATTTTTAGAGTGATACTGTTTGTGCAGTGGAGATTTACGCTACGTGTTCATATTATTTTTTTAATAATTTAATCAAATATTTAAAAAAACGCTTCAAATTCTTCCACTTCATGTTACTAAAAGTCGTTACTATAAATACAGTACAACCTGATAACGGTAGATTCGTTTCAATAGATTTAATGGACTAGGCCTGATTATAATTTAATTTTATAGAGTTAAATGAACTTATATGCTTTACGTCCAAAGATGCTTCGCCATTTACATCATTAAATTGATTATTTATAATGTTTGAGTGTAATTAAATGTAAAATAAGCTTATTTACGTATTAAAATATAGTTGATTTTATTTAAAAATATCAGTTTATTCAATGATTCGTAATATGTAATTAGTAAACTTAGAGCTGGGATGCGCAATATGCAGCTTGCTAAATGTTTTAATGAGGCCCTCTATCTCATTTTGGTAAAATTATTTTTATGTTAATAGAACTATTTAAATATTAATAAATTAATTAACATTAATTTAAATTCATATAATGTTAGGGATGCAACTATGGCAGACGGGCATGTGCCCGGAGCACCAGGTAGGGTGACGTCGAGAGAAGAGGATGTGTAATTATTTAGGAAATTATAAGGGATAATTTATTGGTTCCAGGCGTCCACAGAAAATTTTCCAGGGGACTCAAGGGTGTAAGGTTATATACCTCGATCACTTTTACGATTATAATTTGTGGAATATTTTACTCGATCCTAGGAGAAGCAAGTACCCTTTTTGCCCCCCCTCTGTGGATCTTTTGGCACCAGGTAAGGGGGTGCTAGAGGAAAGGGAATACAAAGGGAAAAGCTACTAACTGACTAATCATATGTCAACGCCCCAAAACTATGGAATAAGAGAGGAGGCACAGGAATCTTGGTTTCTTCAGGATGACAGAGCCTAGTTGCGCCCCTATATTTGAGTGTACAAAATTTGTACACTCAAATACATTTGTACAAAAAATATGTATTATAAACTATAGGTTTGATACTGCGCTCGATCAACACTTAAGTTGTGCACTCCTAACGATATAACTTATATATATATACATATATACTGTATATATAATAAGGTTACCAGATTTGTTAACTTTATATTTTATAAATTTTTAATAAAATTCAGTTTTGTATTAATTAATATAGATTTGTTAGTGTTATGTCTTCCACTTTCGACTGTAAAATTTGTAAAAACTCTCGAAGAAATAAAGTGAAAATAGTGCAAATATTGATGCAATAACGATATAAAAAAACACGAATTCATATTGTTACATGCAAATTTTTTAATCATATTTTAATTTAAAAATCACGTGACTTTCGGTTCAGACTGGAAGTTTGTATATAGTTAATCGGGCTTCTGGACCCTAAACTTTCCATATCCAGTCTCGAATTTTATTTATATAACTCCGTTCTTAAGGTCAACGAAGGACAGACGGTCGTCAATGGGAATCTACAGGTAATCAATTTAAAAATTGTACCCCAAAAATAACTAAAAATGTTAAAAATACGATTATATACAATATTTATTATAAAAAATTTCTATTATATAATGTACAAGATTTTTACTAAAATTTTCTAGATATAGGCCTAAAAATAATAAAAAATGTTCAAAATTAAAAATCTGCATGCTAATTAAGAGATAAACTGCATAATTAGCTTATAATTATAGGTTAATAATGTAATATATATAATAACTTATAATTATATAGCAGCCTGAAATTAATATAAAATGAATTATAGTTCATTTATAAGTTAATTAAAAAGTAATTCCATTTTTAAAACATTATTTTACGGTTTCTCTATTCTACTCGATTTAATTTTATTATATTTATTTACTTTCCTTAAGTAAATTATATCACTTGTTGGGATGCAATTTTCAAAAATTATAGACTTATACATTTCTCTGGTGTCTATTGTCTAACTGTCCTTCTTTAAGAAAGTTAGATAGATAAAAATCAAGACTAGATATGAAAAGCTTAGAGGAGGCCCTGGTTAAGTATATTATTTTTAATTCAAAAGTTTTCCCCCGAACGGAATTAGAGAGATGACCGGCATGACTCTGTTGTCAACAGGAAAAGTATGATGTACAGGGGTAAGACACGACTAAAATTGAAAGCATTGTGTGGAAAAATTGCAGCCCGACATTGTGATGATGTCACAATAAATAATAGCTCGTTTATTTATCTTCTAATAAAAAACAATACTTTTAATTTTAATTTAAATTATTTTATATTTTATGATGCGTTTTTATCATAAGAAGTTTTGCATAAGAATGGACAAACTCCTTGTCTATTACTGGGTCACAGATAACATTTAGTTAATTTATATTAAACATTAATTTAAATTCAATAAAAACACACTTAATCAAAAAAATAATTATTTGCGTGTAAGAATTGAAGAAATGCTCAATAAAAAATTTAAAAAGATGAATAAATTTAAAATGTTTAATATTAAACTACAATAAATAAGTTATTTAATGATGATTAGATGCATGTTAATACACGATATTATTGTTATAATTATCAAGCTTTATATATTTACATGGTTTAAATTAACAATAATCGTTTCATATATTGTAACCATGTAAATTAATAACATCTTCGACATTGTCAATAAAGTTGAAAATGGACTACGCATACATTCTGTATTATAGAAAACAGTACAGATTTAGTACAGTGTTAATGTCAAAAAAGGATTTCGGAATGAACAATATGAACTGTAAATTCTTGGGATCGAATCCGGACGGATCGAAAAACGCCCAGGAATTTTTCGAGTTGTTGTTCTTCCGGATATGTCCGGTCCCGTCTCTCACCAACCCACCCGGTCGCCTCATTGTAAGCCTGGCTGAACCCATAATGGGCTTACTAAAAGAGGCTCTCTTAGTGCCCACAGAGCGGAAAGAGTTGAAAAAAGTCTTACTGGAAAAGCAAAAGCATTTAATATATACTTCACAGGAATCTGTATGTTCTTCTAAACATCCAAAATCTATCAGCAGATTACATTGATCCTCCTTCAATTAATTAGAATTCTGAATTCGAGAATCTATCGTTTAATAACAAACAGAACCTGTCTTACTATATATGAACACCGAGTAGAATTTTTTTACGACACGCCATAAAAAATAAATTAAATAACTGTAATAAAATTTAAAAATTTCATATATTTAAAATCTCAATTGTTATAATTCAATTGTTTCACTTTAAATTTCAATTTGGTTGTTTATTATTTTTATCTTTTAATGTGTCAAAATTATACAAAGTACAGTGGACAATTTTTGCAACAGATTGCAACAAAGTTATGCAAAAAACATTCGATACATTCCAGTATGCATCAATCTCAGCCACAACCGATGCATCGGTGAATGGTTTAACGAGCTTTTACTGGAATGTCTGGCAACCTAACAAGATGGCGGAAGCAAACAGCGCTATATTGGCATTTGCAGACTTATTTTGTCAAAATAACCTTGGATTAATACAGATGAATAGTAAAAATGATGATGATTATGAAATATTTTTATTAGCTGCTACTGTTGCTGTGATGAAGCTTAAAACAACTTCTCGCTATACAAAAAAAGATAACGTTTCATGCTCCATTTCAAGCATTGTCTTCTACTTACTGCTAGCGACATAGCCTATATTCAATTAGACATATTAAAATTTTTTTTAAATCATCACCAAATAATCTTATATTTAATTACAATGTGTGGGATTAACAATATTACATGATAACCGTCTTATATAATTTTTTATGATTACTTTATAAAGTCGCTAAATATAACCATGGAG